GGTCTTGGTAGGAGACACACTGGGCGTTGGGCGAGCAGAATGTGCAGGGCGCTGAAGGCCACGAGGTCTGTTACTGGTGACGTGATGAGTTGTCTTATGCGGCTCAGTCGGTGGCTCTTGATTTCAGCTCAGTCGTGGGCTTGAGGTTTGTGAGTTCGAGCCCCATATTGGGCTCTGCTTTGACAGCACAGAGCCTGCTTGGGATCCTCTCTCCCTCTCTCTCTATTCCTCCCCCTCTCTTGCTCTCTCCCTCAAAATACATTTATTTTTTTTTTATTTATTTTGAAAGAGAGAACATGAACAGGGTGGGGGAGGGGCAGAGGGAGAGGGAGAGAGAGGATCTGAAGTGGGCTCCATGCTGACAGCAGAGAGCCCGAGGTGGGGCTTGCACTCACAAACCGTAAGATCGTGACCTGAGCTGAAAACAAGAGTCAGGTGCTTAATGGAGCCACTCAGGTGTCCCTAAAGTTTATGTATTTTTAAGTAATCTCTACACTCAACATGGGGCTCGAACCCATGACCCCAGGATCAAGAGTCACATGCCCTACTGAGTGCCCCTCACATTGAAAGTTTCAGATGAGGGGCGCCTGGGTGGCTCAGTCGGTTAAGCATCCGACTTCAGCTCAGATCATGATCTCATGGTTCATGGGTTCACGCCCTGTGTCAGATTGATTCTGTGTGTGTGTGTGTGTGTGTGTGTGTGTGTCTGGCCCTCCCCCGTTTGTGCTCTACCTTTCAAAAATAAATAAACATCAAAAAAATAAAAGTTTCAGATGAAATTAACACAAAGGAGAAAAAGTATAGATGAAGCAGTGGAACACTTACCCAGTACGCCTGTCTACTGGAAGCCAAAATACACTGGAAACGATTTGGTGAGAAGAAGCACACATCTTTTATTTCTTTTCTCCAAGTTCAGCCAAAACCTTCCCTTAGGTGTACCTCTGGGGAACCAGTACACAGCAGGTACTCCTAAAAGATTTGGGGTGAGGGGCGCCTGGGTGGCTCAGTCGGTTAAGCGGCTGACTTCGGCTCAGGTCATGATCTCGAGGTCCGTGGGTTCGAGCCCCGCCACGGGCCCTGTGCTGACAGCTCAGAGCCTGGAGCCTGTTTCAGATTCTGTGTCTCCCTCTCTCTGCCCCTCCCCCGTTCATGCTCTGTCTCTGTCTCAAAAATAAATAAACGTTAAAAAAAAATTAAAAAGAAAAAAAGATTTGGGGTGAAGGGGATGGTCAGGCCCTCGGTAAGAGTGGCATTAGAGGGGTGGCAAGAGGGTTTCTCACTTTATTTCTAGAATTCGGTGTCAGGAAGCAGAAGCTGGTGTGACCACCCACCCACCTTCAACCTGAGTGGTGACTCCACCCTTTGAGGATTTTAAATTTTTTTTTTTCAACGTTTACTTATTTTTGGGATGGAGAGAGACAGAGCATGAACGGGGGAGGGGCAGAGAGAGAGGGAGACACAGAATGGGAAACAGGCTCCAGGCTCTGAGCCATCAGCCCAGAGCCCGACGCGGGGCTCGAACTCACGGACCGCGAGATCGTGACCTGGCTGAAGTCGGACGCTTAACCGACTGCGCCACCCAGGCGCCCCCACCCTTTGAGGATTTAATGCAGCAAAGATCCCCCCTGCCTCTTTGCACTGGAAGGAACCAAGGCAAGCATTTCATCCCAATGGCTAAAGAGCAATGACTACCCTCTTCGACACCCTGGACAGAGGGCCATCTGCCAGCGATGGGGAATGTACAAGGCAGCCGGCCCATCCTAATTTTTAACAGAATTAATTGTTAGGATCCGCTGTATACTATGAAGCCACATCTGTCTCTCGTAAGTCCTGGCCTGGCCTTCAGGAGCCACAAGGACCCCCATTCTTCCTCCTTGCGGCACCAAGGGTTCGACAATACCTGTGTGGCACCCTTCGGAGGCACCAAGACTTCTGCTCCCAAACTGATCACACCCCTCCAAAAGCGTTCCCAACGGTGCTCTTATGAATATTCCTGTCCATAAACCTTTGCATACCTGTCTTTGGATACATTTCTGCCAACCAAGCTGTTGGGCCAAATGGTACATTCTGTAGCTTTTGCTGTATATTTCCAGATCAGTTTCCAGCAAGGGTGCTTTTGTCTACATGCCCACAAGTGGTTTACGAGAGAGAACCTCTTTCCCCACACCCTAGCCACCAAATTGGGGGATTTTAATTCTTTTAATCACTGCCAATCTGATAAAAAGAAAATGATTATCTCATGGTTGCTTCAATTTGCATCTCTTTGATTATGGGTGAGGTTGGACATGTTTTCCAACCACATCCTATACTTCTGCAATCTAGTTTTGGAGCTAGATGCAGGCCCTTACAAGTATTCCAGTTAAATTTTATCTTGTTGGATTCCACCAATCATTCTTTCCTGGTGAGATCATTTGGATCCTGATTCTGTAATTCCAACATGTTGGCCTTCCCTCCCCGTCTTGTGCTATTTGCACAGTTGATAAGCAGTTATCTTTGGCTTCATCCAAGTTGTTGATAGAATGTTGAGGGGTTTAGGGCCAAGGACAGAACTGTTTGGCAAACTGCTAGAGAGAGCCCTGGGAGGACACCGTCCCATCTGCTGTTAAGATGCCACCTCCCATGCCCAGGAGCCACCGGCAGTGGATGGACCCCTCACCTGGGACACAAGGCCAGGAACAGATTCCAAGCCTGGACGCTAATTAGCTGTGTGGCCTTAAGCAAGTGGCGTCACCTTAGGGGCACCCAGGGGGCTCACTTGGTTAAGCGTCTGACTCTCGATTTCGGCTCGGGTCATGATCTCATGGTTTGTAGGATCGAGCCCCACATCGGGCTCTGCGCTGACAGTGCAAAGCCTGCTTGGGATCCTCTCTCCCTCTCTCTCTCTGCCCCTCCTCTGCTTGTGCACGTGCCTCCTCTCGCAAACTAAATAAACTTTAAAAAATAAATTTTAAAGAGTGGTGTCATCAATGTGCCACATGATTATCTAATGGCCCTTCGAGGTCTAGCAGCCTTTTTGTCACTATTTTGTCCACAAGAGGGTTTTTTTAATGATTATTTTTGAGAGAGAGTGAGTGAGCAGGGCAGAGAGAGGGGACAGAGGATCTGCAGCGGGCTCCGTGCTGACAGCAGAGAGCCCGATGCGGGGGCTCGAATTCACGGACGTGAGATCATGACCTGAGCCAAAGTCGGACGCTTAACTGACTGAGCCACCCAGGTGCTCCTCCGTAAGTTTCTCGAGACACTGTGAAACGATTGTCAGAAGTCATTGCACTGTGGCAAAGTGCTCACCCAATTCACCAACCTAGTGAGAAACATTCCCTCAATAGTCAATATTGACCCTTATGATCACCCTTTCTAAATGCTGGGCAAACATTCCTTTGATTATCTGCTCTAAAATTTTGTGTTTTGCCCATCATCAAAACTAAGCTCACAGGCCTTCAGTTTATCCAGTTTTTCCCCCCTCCCTCCATGATTTCTCAAAGTACCCTGAGACAGCAGGGGCGCCTGGGTGGCCTAGTCGGTTGAGTGTCCCACTCTTGGTCTCGGCTCAGGGCATGATCTCACAGTTCATGAGTTCGAACCCCGAGTCGGGCTCTGTGCTGACAGCGTGGAGCCTGCTTGGGATCCTCCCTCCCCTCCCTCTCTCTCTGCCCCTACCCTCCTCGTGCTCTCTTTCAAAATAAGTAAATAAACTTTTTTTAAAAAGTACCCTGGGAAAGCAGAGGCGCTCGCTGCCCCAGCTTGTCAGATCTGTCACCCTGGTCCAGTTTTCTTTCATATCGCGAAGGGGCGAGTCCCTGGGACTGCCTCCTCCCCTCCCAGCTCGGACAGAGGGCCCAGGGTGTCGGGAGCAGAGTTAATAAACAGCTGGGACAGCATTCAGAGGAAACGGTTTGAATGGCTTCGTTTGAGGAGGGGCCTTCGTAAGACTGAAAAATGCCAACCACTCTCATCATTAGGGGAAGAAACAGCTCCGGGGGCCTGTGCGAGGGACCTCCGGCTATCCGACTCGGGGCCGAATGCAGAAAATAAGCATCAGCAGAACTGTCTACAAACCAAATGATGACACCCCTTTGTTTGAGTTACTTCAAAACCAAAAATCAGACGAGACTATTCCAAGAAAGAAACGCTAAACATTAACCCCGTGTAACCAACGTAAGGGACGAAGTGAATCAGTGATAATTCTGGTCACTTGGCGTCTGATTGCCACTGGACCTGGGATGCGGTTAATTGACTTACCCCTCTTAAATGTACCCCTAAATTACCTACAACTATGGCCATCCGGTGTTTTCTGTGCTGGCTCATTCAGGCTAGTAATAAACAGTGAACAATGATAACAAGGGCAGAGACGATACTTAACCTCTTCTGGGAACCGGGCGCTGTTGTAAGTGCTTTGCATGAACTAACCCTTCCATCCCCACAGCTCCCCTGGAGGGAGGTGCTGTTTTCACTCACGATGCTTCACAGATGATGAGATGGAGGCGCAGAAGCGAGTTGAAGCGACCTGCCCAAGGTCACCCACCTTGTCACGGGCAGAGCCAAGGCCGGGAACCCAGGCAGCCTGGCTCCTCCCCCATCCGCCTCCGCTGCCTCTGCAAGTAAATGAGGAAAAGGAAGGAACCGCCGTCCGGAATCATTTCTCCCCCAGATCATGAACTAAAACTGCTTCGCAAACGGTGGTCTCAACGACCATGGGGGTCGCAACCCCCCCCCCGCCCCCGCTTTCAACGGCGGGAAAAGGAAGGCGCAAGGCGGAAAGGGGGTCGGGGGCATGGTCAAGGGCACGGAGAGCCTGTAGCCTGGGCGCACAGACTGTCGCCACAGTGAGTGCCTGCGACCCCGAAGTGCCACGCGCGGACCGAGACTGTAGCCACGCCCACTTCATGAAGCCGGACCTGCGCAGCCCCCATCCGGTCCTCCAGTAACAGAATTACGAGACCCAGTGCGGTAACCGCTGGCGCACGCGTGCTGCCGCAGCCCCGGGCAGCCGGACCGCCCGCCCCGCCGCAGCTCCCAGTATTGTCTTCCGGTTGCTAGACGACGCCGCTTTCCAGTACATTATTCGGAATATAAAAACTAAAATGTAAGTAAAGCATTTTAATACAGATCATTTCAACCGCAACGAGGCAATTGGCCCCTGATTAAATTGGCGAGGAAAGGTAATGAACTCATTCCGATCGACATATTTAGGGACCCTCTTGCCAAATCCAATTGGCAGCTTCATAATTATGGAAACATCCATGTTATTTCCACTCAACCGGGGCTAGGCCTGCCGGTATCTGATTCAATGTTTACTTCGTGAATGAGGTCAGTCCCCGGCACAGCTGGGGTTTTAGCCAAGGAACCAGAGCTGCTCGTCAGCAGACAGCGTTCCCACTAGAATCTGACCATCGTTGTCTGGGCTTCCAGGATAACCTGGGTGAGCCGCGCTCTCTGGCATTTCTGGGGCCTGGCTCTTCTTCCTGCTCCGCTAGTGGTTCCCGGGGAATCAGTCAGAGCCCGGGCTGCGGCCTGGGCATGATGAGATCACGTCCAAGTTTCCCACAGCCCAGCAATTCGCTCTGACTTGCCCCCCCGCGTATTGCAACATCTCGACCATTCCGAGCTTCAGACCTGCCAGGAAACGGGGTAGGGTTTTGTTTGTTTGTTTGTTTGGGGGTTTTGTTTGTTGTTTTCTGTTTTCTGTGTTTTGGGTTTTTTTTTTTTTTAAGTATTTATTCCAGGATGGCTCCATTTGTGGGGTGCGAGAGTGACTCAGAGTGCCTTGCGAGCCACCTCCAAAGGTAACCATGTCCCACAGGCCGGCGCGTCCTCTGCGCCAACTCCCCACCCTGGTAAAAACAAAACCAAAAGCTCACGAGGGCTCCAAACACCCACTTGAAGAACACGCGCTTATGGAGTGGTGTTCTCCAAGGGCACGCAAGCTGCCGGGAAGGCCGCCGAGGGCAGAAAGGAAAGCGAGTTCTGCGCTGTTGCGTGGGGCAGAGAAGAAGCGTGTGCTCGACGTCTCGAGAGGCTCCTTCTCGGCCTGGCACCGATTTCTTGATCTTAGAGCGTAAGGTCCTAGGAAGCTTAGAGATGGTGATTTGGTTTGGATCCCCACATAATCGTGGGCATCATATACCAAACAGTTTTGCCTAGCAAGATCGGGGGGGGGGGGGGGGGGGGAGCACCGGGAGATGGTTTGAGAACTGGATAGATACAAAGGCAGATTCAATAAAGACGCTTCCTCTTTCTCGACGTTGACAAAGCAGGGGATGTGTCACACGGCACCTTCGCATCTCCTGTCGGCGGGGCCGACGGCTGCTGACGCAGACGGAAGAGAAACTCGGAGGAGATACCGTCCCAGATGTAAAGGGGTGAACTCTCTCTTCCTCTGACCTCGACAGAAGTCCGAGGAGGAAGACTCAACTCTCTCTTATCTAAAGGGTGAGTCCAGCTGCCACGAGAGATTTCGAAACCTCTCTCCCCACGCAGGGGTGGACATCCCCACGGGGTCCAGAGAGCCCGCCCGAGTGCAGTTCAGGCCGCTTCTCTTACACGCTCTCCTCAAGCGCACAACCTGTCCCAGACCCGAGATGCTCCCGTCACCTACCCAATACCCACCCCACCCCCCTTCTGGGGCTTGCCTTCAACTTGTTGCATCCCTCGCTGTCACAGTTGTCACCTTACCACCTGCACGACTTTTCCCTTGAATCTCCTTCTGGCCGGTTTGGAAGATGGGGCCCTAAACGAAGTTCACGCTTTCCCTCTCTCCGGCCCGTGGTCTGTGCTCCTCGGCTGCAGCCACGCTGGCTGAACGCACCAGGCGCACATCCGCCTCAGGGCCTTGGCGCGTGCTGTTCCCCCCACCACGAGCGCTCTGTGTCACCCACGTGGCTCCCTCACTCCCTTCCTCGGGGTCTTTACCCACACGCCCACTCATCAGTGAGCTGTCCCCCACCACTCTCTTCGGAGCTCCCGCCCACGCGTGGTTTCCCACGAGCTTATCTCCCCCTTGTCTCCTTCCTTATCTGCCTCGCCCACTGGAATGCCAGCTTCACGCGGGCAGGGACTTCTGACTCTCTCTGTCCTCTGTCACAGCCCGGTGCCCACAGCGGCGCTCAGCGTATCCACGCCGCGAGAGTTACTGGGCGTTCGCGGCTCGCCTGCGATTGAGGAATTCTCCGTTCCTCAAGCTGAAGGCCGCTTCGTGCCTCCTGGGCCCTCGGAGAGATCGGAGGAGTTGGGCCAAGGCCTCCCTCCCTCCCTCCTCCTCCTCACCGCCCTTTTGACGCTGTATATTCTGCTTCCCCGACAGACGCAGGAAAGTGGGGTCGTTCTAGAGGGAGACGGAGCCTTTCCCGATTTAGGAACACAGGTGTTGGCTCCGCCGGGGCCAAAGGCTCCCGCGTCTCTAGGAGCTCCCAGGAGGAAATTCATCTGAAATGTGCTCACCCTCCCTGGTGGGGAACGGGGCTGTGGGCGAGGCAGCCCATGCGGGCAGGCGGCCCTTACACAGGCTTTCCAGAAAGAGCTGGAAAGCAGATACCCGAGCCACAGGAAAAAGAATGACCTCTTGCAGCCAAGAGCCTGACTGGAAAGTCCGCGTAAAGGACACCTGGAGGAAGTGGGGGGCTCCATCACCTCCTCCGCCCGCCGGTAACCCTTTCTTCCTCACTCGGCCGCCCCGCACATCCGCCTTCCCGGAGGCTCACCCCATCTTTGCCATTCGAAAGCTCACTGGGTTCTCCCAACACATCAGAGCTTTTTTTTTTTCTTTTCCCTTTTTCTTTTCTTTTCTTTCTTTTTTTTTTTTTTTTTTTTTCATCTTGTTTGAAAAGCCTTTTGTGAGGTTGGGAGTGACCCAAAAGTCGCCTCTCTATTCCTGTCTGAGGAGAGAGTATTTCCAGATCGGAGGCGCGGTCTGCAGGGCCCGGGCCAGGCGTCCATGAATACCGGATTATGCCTCCTACCCCAGTCTCCTAAGCGTGTGCCAGCCACAGTTCCAGAATGAACCATAAGCGGAGAAAAAAAAATTTTGTGAATCAAGAGGTTTATTATTTTCTCCCAGTAAGGATTTTGAAACCCAGATTTCCACATTTTTAAGGGTTTGATGTCATAAAATTCCCATGTATGATTACATTTTAAAAAACAGAGTCATTGTGTGTGTGTGTGTGTGTGTGTGTGTGTGTGTGTGTGTTGGAACGTAAGAGGTTTAGCATACAACTCAGAAAATGAATTCCTAAACCCAGAGTTTGAAAGGCACAGACACAACGGGCCATCGAGCTGGGCATCTGCTACAACGAATCCATGGGATGTTAAGTCTGTTGTCCTGGAACCATCTGGAAATTAAATGTTAGTCTTCTGAAAAGAACCGGGACCTCCAAATGTTGTTGTTACTCTGAGTGCAGTGTAAGCAGGTTTCTATTTAAAACTTTCACACCGGCTACTTGAGTATTTCTTGTTCTCCGAAGGGTACCCTCTATACCTCTTGGATTCTTTTCCACCTTCCCTTTTCCATGTTAATTTGGCTTAATCCCACCTGCTGGCACGAAGGGAAAGATATTTATAAACATCATCTATAGGGGCGCCTGGGTGGCTCAATCAGTTAAGCCTCCGACTTTGGCTCAGATCATGATCTCACGGTCCGTGAGTTCAAGCCCCGTGTTGGGCTCTGTGCTGACGGCTCAGATCCCGGAGCCTGCTTTGGATTCTGCCTCCCCCTCTCTCTGCCCCTCCCCTGCTTGCACTCTGTCTCTCAAAAGTAAGTCGATATTTTAAAATTCTATATATAAAAAAAGTCTCCTGTAAAAGGAGCTGGGGAGTTGTGTGGTCTTTCACCGTTGCTGCTGCAACCAGACTTAGGTGGAGACCAGACAGTCCTCCAGCAGTGAGGGGTGGAGAGGGCCTGGGAGATGGGGAGGAAAGAGTGTGTCCCTGCCTTTATGTTAAAGAGAAGGCAAGACATTGCCCAACACAGTTACACCTTAGCAGACTACTCTAGCAAGGCCCTTGGATGCCCCCTTGGGTCCCAGGGTGCCTAATCTAAATAAACTCCAGATCTGTCAACACTGGCTTGGGGCCGGGAAACCAGACCAAACCCTCGGTCTTTCTTATTGTCTAAATTGTCTAGATCCAAAGTCCTCCTAGTCCTAATTATGGACTGAGAAGCAGTGAAGCCCAGACACTCCAGGGACTGTGGATTTTGTTCCTCTGTTCATTTCCCTAATTGTGTAAAACTTCTCACTTCGGGTCTTCGGAGGGCCCTCCTCCCTGTTTCCTCCTCCTCCTCCTCTCCTCTCCTCTTGGGCACTGCCAGTGTTGAGGGCAGGAGCAGCCCGGGGTGACATCGGCGGGGACAGAAGCGTGCTGGGGCAGACCCGCCGTGCCCATGAACAAGACAGCACTGTGTACAGAGGCTTTTCAGGGCGGTTTCGCAGATACGGGGATGTTGGACAGCGAGGAACAGAGAAATTCCAGAGATTTTTCACGTGCAAGCGGATATTTCCTTTGAGAGTTTCTAGACTAAATAATACTCCTTGTGTCTAAGGGACGGTGGATACTGCTGACCTGGCAATGTTCTCTGTGCGCGGGGAGAGGCAGAGGAAAGTGAAGTTGCCTGAGTAAATGTCTTTACTTAGAGGAATATTGGGGCTGTTCTCCCTCTGCCTGACGCGACATCCACTTCAAATACGGAGGAAGAACCTGTTGGCAGATCTCGGGAATAAAACGGGCCGGACTTCTAAGAATAAATATACCCGGGGCTCCCTATTCACCATTTTCACATGCCCCAGCCTCTGACAACCACCGATCCTTTTACTACCTCCGTAATTTTGCCTTTTCCAGAATGTTCTCTAAGTGAGATCACATCGTGTGTTGCCTTTTGAGGTCGGCTTGTTTCACTTAGTATTATGCATCTGAGTTTCCCCCATGTCTTTGCAGGGCTTGGTAGCTCATCAGCTTTGAGTACTAAATAACATCCCATCATCTGGATGTAGCCATGTTCATATGCATTTAATGCCAGGCTGTCTAATGGGGGCGATATTATTCATTAATAACTGGCATTATAATAAAATCTACGATATGACGAAAGCAAGACTTAGCTTAAATAGAACCACCTCTGTATCAACCTATTAATAGGAAGGCTGTTACTATTATTATCTTTCTGGTTGAAGTAAGTAAACCGAGACCCGGAGAGAAGCTGTCTTACACGTGGCAGATAGGTCAGTGAAGGGAGAGACCTATAAAGGGACCGAAGAGTCTAGAATCCCAGCCATTTGCTCTATGACAGATCAGAGCATATTGTACTGGGTTGTGTTTATGTTTTAAGTTTAGATGGCGGGGGGGGGGGGGGGGGGGGCGGACACCTGTTCCCAGCTCCTCAGGCTGACATGCAGAGGGGATCTTTAGGGGTGTGCTCCTTGCTTCTCTCCCTCCTCCCCCCACCCCATACACCCCTCCTCCCCCCTGTTCCTCTCCCAAGGGAGGCGGAGCTACATTCCCACTTGGGCGGATGGGGAGGAACGGCACATGGGAGTATCCCCCTCGCTCCTCCCCGGGATCTCCTGGCTGCCGAGAAAGTGCCAGGCAGTGGCACCACGGGACAGGAGGCATCGGCCCGTCTGCGTCAGGAGTGCGACGTTAGCAAGGCCACTTGCCCACAGACCTCATGACACCGGCATCCACATCTCCATTTTCTCCGACGCCTGCACCTCATTGCTGATCCTGATTTCAGTGGGGAGGATGCCCCCCACCCCCCCCCCCAAAAAAAACGTAATAATGCCATCACGGATAGATTTTAAAAGGCTCTCATCACGTTATCATCCGGATTCTTTCCAGCAGCAAAGTGTCTCTACCATCATGGAGTCCGGTAACTTTGAGGCTATTGCAGGCCTGAAAGACAATATTGAGTAAACCGAAGTAGTAACTTAAACGATGAACGCACCAGCCAGAGCGTGTAGCCAGCCGGCTTCCAGGGAATCACATGATCCCCCAGAGAAATCGGACCGAAAAACGAATTTTAGACCAGAAATTCAACTACTTGCAGCCTGTCCAACAATTCTACCTAGAAAGGTCTGCTCAGAGGGGCGCCCGGGAGGCTCATTCGGTTAAGTGTCAGACTTCAGCTCAGGTCATCTCACGGCTGGTGAGTTGGAGCCCCGCCTCGGGCTCTGTACTGATGGCTCAGAGCCTGGAGCCTGCTTCGCATTCTGTGTCTCCCTCTCTCGCTGACCCTCCCCTGCTTGCATTCTGTCTCTCTCAAAAGTAAATAAACATTAAAACTTTAAAAACAATTTTAAAAAATTTAGAAAGGTCTACACAGATACATAGAACCAATTTCAGACTAAAACAAGTATTAAGAAAATATTTCTATAATAAAGTAAAAATAAAATAATAAAAACAAAGAGTAAGGCTATCTCCCATTTTTTGTCAGGTGTTCCAAAGAACCTCGCTCTTCTCTCTTAATGGCTTGATACACATTTTCACACCTCGAAGTCCTTTCCCGCTACATCCAGGTCACTGTGCAACATCCGAATTTTCCGGAGCCAAGGTCGAAACACCACAACTTCCTACTACGGATGGCGAGAGTCAAAAGTGTAACGTCCACGTGTCTGACTCCACCGGGACCGTACAGGAATCAGGACAGAATCTAATTTGCCCACGTCCAATGCCTTATCTATGTGGCATCATTCGTGAGAACCCATTAATATCTGATCATGAGGAGGAGTTGGGGGGAGGATGCGGAAGGTTCCCCTGAGCACAGTCACCACCTCAGGTGGGGTGAGCTGCTCAGGGAGACAGATGCAGACTGTCACCCTGACTGATGCGTTGGCTTGCCCAGCCCCCTCCACCTCCCCCCCCCGCCCCTTGCCCATCTCCACTGATTCTGCCTTGGCCCAGTCCTACCGAGGCATGCATCGGGGGGTGTCTTCCGGAGGCCGTCCGGAAAGGCTTTGCTTTTCTTCTGAAAAAGACTGGCAATGCCCCTCGCCTTTTTCCTTCCTCCACCTGATTCTGTGAGGTGAACAACCACCTCTGTAAAGCCTCCAGTACCCTAGCGCACAAAGGCTCTCTCGCTGCCAGCCTTCCCTTTCCCGGGGGTCACAGTGGCAATCGAAGAACACTGGAAACGCTTGGAACATAATTAAGCCAAAGAAGACAGACTGCATTATTACAACTAACTGCTGGCCCACTACCCTCAGCTACTCCAAAGGGAACAGGATGTTAAGAAATGATTCTGTCTCTGGAGCGCCTGGGTGGCTCAGTCGGTTAAGTGTCGGACCTCGGCTCGGGTCGTGATCTCACAGCTCATGAGTTCTGGCCCCGCGTCCGGCTCTGTGCTGAGAGCAGAGATCAGCTTTGGATCCCCCGTGCCCCTCTCTCTCTGCCCCTCTCCTGCGGGCGCTCTCTCTCTCTCTCTCTCTCTCAAAATAAATAAATAAACAAACTCTTAAAATTTTTTTTAAGACTGTGAGGAAATCAAGTATGAGGCTTAATTGTGTGTGTACACTTGACGTGCCACAAGGTGTCTAAATATTTGGTCAAACGTTATTTCTGGGCGTGTCTGTGAGGGTGTTTCTGGGCAAGGTTAGCACGTGAGTCAGTCGGTGGACAGTAAAGCAGGGAACCCTCCCGGGTGTGAACGGGCCCCAGCCAATCCCCTGGAAGCCTGAATAAGAAAGAATTCGCGCTCTGTCTGACCGTCCCTCCCTCCGGCCGGAACGTTGGTCTTCTGCCTTTGGACTTGACTCAGAGCAGAACCATCGGCCCTCCAGAGTCTCCCGCTCCCCAAATGCAAACCTGGGACTTCTCAGCCCCAATAACCCTCGGAGGCCGATCCCTTAGTGTAAATACACCTGTTAGTTCTGTTTCCCTGGAGGAGTCAGGCTCCTTACACACGGGGTGGGCCCCCCACCCCCCCGCCCCCCAGCCCCCCACCCCCCAGCCCCCCACCATTGCCAAACACAGCTTCTTCTGACTGGAAGCAGCCGAGCTGGGAGGGAAGAAATTTCACTTCAGTGACTCTCTCTGTTGCACAGAGACCCTGTAGACTCGAAGTGATCAGCGAACTGTTTGTTCTCCAGCAGCTGCTGGAGGGTCACCGGGCTCCCAGACATTTCACCGGGGGGGGGGGGGGATTGAAGAGAAATCGGCCCCCCCCCCAGGGAGTGTTGAACAGGCCCTGGAGAGTGAGGAAGAGGCTTTCAACTCCAGGGTACCCGGAAGCCCTCTCTGTGCCACAGCTTGGTTTTACAAACATGGCATGTGATGTCAGCAGCTGGTGTCTCACAAAACTTTTTCTAATGTTTATTTTTTGAGAGAGAGAGACAGAGAGACAGAGAGACAGGGTGCAAGCAGGGGAGGGACAGAGAG